AGTGCAGGCATAGATCTGATTTTGATTTGATCCATTGTAGTCACATGTACTTAAGTACAGTGAAAAGCTTTGTTTTGTGAGCAGTACAGGCGGATCATAGCAAACAAGGACATACAGATCATAGGGTGCTTAGACAGGGCGAGGTTTACAAGGTTATAGCTGCACAGGAGGTGCAAAAAGCAAGACCAACATTATTTGAAGTTAGAGAGGCCTGTTCAGTAGTCTAATGACAGTAGGGAAGAAGCTGTTCTTGAACTTGTTGGTGTGTATGTTCAAGCTTCTGTACCTTCTACCTGTTGGAAGAGGTTGGAAGAGAACATTACCGGGGTGGGAGGGGTCCTCAATTATGTTGGCAGCCTTTCCGTAGCAACAAGAAGTGGAAATGGAGTCCATAGATGGGAGGTTGGCTTCCGTGATGGTCTGGGATGTGCACACCACATTCTGTAGTTTCTTATGGTCCTGGGCAGAGCAGTTGCCATACCAGGCCATTATGCACCGGACAGAATGATTTCAATGTTGCAACTGTGGAAGTTGGTGAGGGTCCTTATCGACATGCCAAATTTCCTGAGCCATTTGAGGAAGAAGGGGCGTTGTTGTGCCTTCTTAACCGTCACATCGATGTGGGAAGTCCAGGAGATATTTTTGGTGAACGTCACTCCTAGGAGCTTGACGTTCTCAACCCTGTCCACCTCAGCTCCATTGACATAGATGGGGGAGTGTCCTCTTCCTTTCTTCTTGAAGTCAATCATCAGTTCTTTTGTTTTGCTGACACTAAACAAAATCTTCCTTAAGTTGTGTAGAACCTTGGTTAAACCACACCCTAGAATATTGTGTGCAATTTGTTCCTTTACTTTAGGAAGGATAGTATGACCATTGAGGGAGTGCCACAAAGGTTCGCCAGACTTGTCCCCAGGATGGAGAGACTGTCTTCTGAAGAGATTGGGGAAGTTGGGTCTGTACTGTCTCAAGTTTCAAAGATTGAGAGGTGATCTCACATAAACATGCAAAATACTTAAGGGGATGGACAGGGTGGATGCAGGTCAGATGTTTTCCCTGGCTGGGGAGTCTAGAACCAGGGATCACAATTTAAAAATAAGGGGGATGCCACTTATGAGCAAAATTGAAGTAACATTTTTACTCAGAGGATTGTGAATCTTTGGAATTCTTTAACCCAGAGATTTGTAGAACCTCAAGCATTGAGAATGTTTAAGACTGACTGAAGGCCTGTGACCAGTGATGTGCTACAAGGATCAGTGCTGCGTCCACTGCTTTTTGTTATTTATACAAATAATTTGGATGTGAACGAGGAGGTATGGTTAGTAAGTTTGCAGATGACACCAAAATTGGAGGTGTAGCGGACAGCGAAGAAGGTTACCTCAGAGTACAACGGGACCTTGATTAGATGGGCCAATGGGCCGAGGAGTGGTAGATGGGGTTTAATTTAGATAAATGTGAAGTGCTGCATTTTGGAAAGGCAAATCAGGGCAGGACTTATACACTTAATGGTAAGGGCTTGGGGAGTGCTGCTGAACAAAGACACCTTGGAGTGTAGGTTCATAGTTCCTCGAAAGTGGAGTTGCAAGTAGATAGGATAGTAAAGAAGGTGCTTGGAAATGCTTGTCTTTATTGGCCAGTACATTCCATATAAGGGAGATCATGTTGTGGCTGTACAGGACGTTGGTGAGGCCACATTTGGAATATTGCATTCAATTCTGGTCTCCCTGCTATTGGAAAGATGTTGTAAAAATTAAAAGGGTTCAGAAGAAATTTACAAGGATGTTGTCAGGGGTTGGAAGGCTTGAGCCAAAGGGAGAGGCTGAATAGGCTGGGGTTATTTTCCCTGGAGCGTCTGAAGCTGAGGGGTGACCTTTTAGAGGTTTCTAAAATCATGAGGGGCGTGGATAGGGTGAATAGCCAAGGTCTTTTCCCCAGAGTAGCGGAGTTCAAAACAAGGGGGCATAGGTTGAATTGAGAGAGGAAAGATCTAAAAGGGACCTGAGGGGCAACTTTTTCAAGCAGAGTGTGGTCCATGTATGGAATGAGGAGGTGGTAGAAGCTGGTATGATTATAACATTTAAAAGACATCTGGATGGGTACATGAATAGGAAAGGTTTGGAGAGATATGGGCCAAATGCTGTCCAATGGGACTAGATCAATTTAGGATATCTGGTTGGCATGGACGAGTTGAACTGAAGGGTCTGTTTCCATGTTATACGTCTTTATGACTCTATGCCTCTATAGATTGATCTTTATATAAAGATCCATGATATAAAGAAACACGGGGAAAGTCTGGGGTTAGCGTGTGGAGAAAGGTATTGAAGTGGATAATCAGCTGTAAGGTCATATTGAATGGTGGAGTAGGCTTGATGAGCTAAACAGCCTACTCCTGTAACTCCCTACCTATACATTGGGCACTAAACACACGTCAAAGCCCAAAATATGGCAAAAAGCAAGCACTCCCTTCTTACAAGCTGGTAAAAGAAAGTCAGCATTTCTATCCTTCTACTTGCAGCCATCCAGCTGAAGCATCAAGCAGTTAATGAATCAGCAGCAAATCCTGTTTTACTTCCCCAGACACTTAATTTCCACAGTAAGGACTTGAAATATAACAAGTAAATTATGTTCATTATAATGTGATTATGAAGTATTGATTGACACAGGGTAAAACAATTATTTTCAACATTATTTTATCCTTTGTCAGTGAATAATTCTGGCACTCGTTGAACTGAGATGCTTCACTCATATTCTTTACAGATCACCAGATATCATGATGAGTCTCAATATGCATGTTCTCCTCAAGATCCGTGTCCATCTGTCTTAGTTCCTCATTAAATGTTAAAATAATGCAATCTCTGCTATTGTGCGGATGATCCTGGAGGAGCTCGGGTGCATGATACTATTGCAGAGAGTTGCTGAAGACAAAGGTCTTTTCAATATAACTGTTTATTCATGTTAAACTACACATCACTATGCTACTCTATATACACTTCAAACTTAGCACCAGATTGTTGCTTTTCTCTTCAGAGTCTGTCTGTCATCATGTGATCTATCATACCATCACTGACATAGTTTTCCTATCTATATAGTTAACGTTAACCCTTTAATTTACACATTTCTATTTTCAAATTCTCTGTCGCAGCCAAACTTCACAGTACTCATTATTGTTAGGAAATAAATGTTAGGAAATAAAATCTAGTGTAAGTATTCACTGGGGAGATCAGGAGATTTTGAATAACTGTGAAAATCCACCCTATTAATGATCACTTACCATCAGCATAAAAGGAAGAAATTTCAATTATATGACACCTTTTGCAACACAAGATAGTTCCAAAATACTTTATATCTTAAATTCTTTTGAAGGTTTTTGTTTAATTCCCTCTTCGGATGCGGGTGTCTCTGGCTCAGCCAGCATTTATTGCCTTTCCCTCATTCCCTTTAAGAAGGTGGTGGTGACCTACCCCCTTGACCCCTACAGGCCCATTGAGTCGACAACAGCCCTCCAAAGAGCATCCCACCCAGACCCATCCCCCTACACTATCCCTGTAACTCTGCATTTCCCATGGCCAATCCATCTAACCTGCACGTCTTTTGACTGTGGGAGGAAACCGGAGCACCCAGAGGAAACCCACGCAGACACGGGGAGAATGTGCAAACTCCACACAGACAGTCTCCTGAGGCTGGCATCAAACCTGGGTCCCTGGTGCTGTGAGGCAGCAGTGCTAACCATCCGGCCATGGTACCACCCATGGGTAGATCCACAATGCGGTTAGGGAGGGAGTTACAGAATTTTGACCCAACCACAGTGAAGGTACACCAATATATTTCCAAGTCAGGATGGTGAGTGGCTTGGAGGGGAACTTGCAGGGGGTGGTGTTCCCATGTATCTCCGGCCTTTGTCCTTCTAGGTGGAACTGACTGTGAGTTTGAAAGGTGCTGTCTGAAGATCTTTGGTTAATTTGTACCATTGTAGCAGGTACACAGTATTGAGCTTGCTATTGAGTGTTGGTGGTACAGGGAGTTGACGTTTCAGGATCTGGTGTCCCTGTTGTAATGTGGGAAGCATGGCAGACAATTTGTGTGACACAAGCTTCATAACAAATGTGATACTGACCAGTGTTTTATTAAAGCTGGTTCAACAATAAACATTGACTGGACACCAGAAAGTACTCTCTTTCCAGCTCTCCTTCAAAACAGAACTGTGGCATCTAATTTTTAACATCCAAGAGCATGCTATTTTTAAAGTACTAAAAACCACAGTTATGAAACTGCTTTAGGAAGCTAGATGGAGACCGCTGATCAATAAATTTTAATAAATTATTTTACAGTGAGTGCACTCGACAATAAGAAACATTTTTTGTAAATTGTTATTACATTAAAATCAGAAACTAAACAGAAGGATAGAGATTTTGAGGAGAGCATTGCCCATCGAAGTTAGCATATGATGCAGTAATGTAATAAAATGTACAATGAACATTACTCAAGTACTCAGTGAGCTATTGCAGAACAGTGTTGAATTTGAAAATAGAAATCAGATGTCTGGGAGTCAGCTTCAAGCTAAAATCTAATTAAAGAATTTAAATTGTTTATATGTAAAATAATAAATGTCTAAAGCAGATTTATAGAATCTGATTTATTGGATGTTTTAGGTATAGAATAAAAGATGTATGGATTTAAGTTACCAACTCAAATCTTTTTGGCTCAAAAAGGGTATATACAAAATAAAGGTAAAGTCGCCATAAAGAGAGGGAGACAACTGATTGCAGTCAAACCTGAGGCTCATCTCAGGTGAGGGGAGAAGGTGAGTCCATAGTAGCCAGTGTCCCACACTGTTAGCATCACCATGCATCTTAAACCAGCTAGCCAGCCAACAGAGCTAACTTACACCCAGTATGCACACTGTGAAGCACTGTAGTTGATACAGAGATGTGAGTTTCTGATTAAATTTCTTGCAGTCTGTCGGCCAATGCTCGCATAATATTACATTGTGTTTTTATTTTCAGATGGTCAAAGAAGAATGATTTATGAATATCACAGGGTGGAAATAGACATGACAAAGATCAGCAACAGCTCAGCTTTGGAGTTCACCCCTGTTTCCAGTAAGTTGTGACTTCTACAGAGTTTGAGTTTTATGTGTGATTGCTTTAAGGGTCAGGGAGGGCATGTTTTGTATTCACTATGCTACCCTGACTGACCTCCCTCTGTTGATTTGTTGGGAGCGATCCTTGTTGCTCTGTCTAGTCCCTGACTGAATGTTGTATTCTTATCACTTTCAATAGCTGATGTGGACATGACTAGGCTTAGAGCAAGGTCACAGAAGTGATGAGGGAGTGGGACTAGGTAGATGGACAGTCATAGAGTTGTAAAGAACAGAACCAGACCCTTCAGTCCACTTCATCCATGCCAGCCAGATATCCTAAATTAATCTAGTCCCATTTGTCAGCATTTGGCCCATATCCCTCTAAACCCTTCCTATTCATGTACCCAACCAGAGACCTTTTAAATGTTGTAATTGTACCAGCCTCCACCACTTCCTCTGGCAGCTTGATTTATACATGCACCACCCTCTGTGTGAATAAGTTGCCCCTCAGATCCCTTTTAAATCTTTCCCCTCTCACCTTAAAACTATGCCCCCTAATTTTGGACTCTCCTACCCTGGGAAATATTCCTTGGCTATTCACCCTATCCATGCCCCTCATGATTTTATAACTTCTCTAAAGTCACCCCTCATCCTCTGGCACTCCAGGGAAAATAGCCCAGCCTATTTAGCCTCTCCTTACACTCAAACCTTCCAACCCTGGCAACATCCTTGTAAATCTTTTCTGAACCCTTTCAAATTCAACAACATCATTCCTATGGCATTGCTATTTAGCACATTGTCATTGAGTCATGCAGCATGGAAACAGACCCCTCGGTCCAACCAGTCCATGCCAAACATAATCTCAAACTAAACTAGTCCCACCTGCCTGCTCCTGGTCCATATCCCTATAAATGTTTCATATTCATATAACTATCCAAACGTCTTTTAAACATTGTAATTATACCCATATCCACCAGTTTCTCAGGAAGTCCATTGTCCTCTCAACTCTTGTATCCGCACTTAAATCCAGACAAATGTATGATAGAAAATTTGGTGCTTTGGGCAAATGAAAAATACTGCAGATGGTGTAAATCTGTCTTGAAAACATAAACAGAGGAAGGGGAGAAGGAGGAAGGACAAAAGGGAAAGTTTGCATTAAAGTAGAGGACAGGAGAGTTTAAATGGTGAAAGGTTTCCTGGCACAAAAGAGAGTGGTAATGGATAAAGTAAAGAAACGGAAGATGAGAATTTCTGAAATAGCCTGGAACCATTCCCCACAAGCCCTGTGATGCAGTCCAGTTGAGGCACAAGAATCATTTCAAATTTCTAGATGGGAAGTTCCAAAAGTTGTCAAATTGTGGTTTAATCCTAGTGTGTGGGAAAGGAGTTTAGCAGAAAAGGCAGTTGATGACCAGTGGCAGAAAAAAAACTCATGGCTCCTAACAAAGACACATCCCTGTGAGGAAGAAGGATTCTAGAAATAGTATAAACTGAGCATGGTTAACAAATTAAGGATTATATCAAATTGAAAGAAAAAATTGCAACATTGCAAAGATTGTAAGACAGCAGATTGGGAAAGTTTTAAAAACCAAGACAAGATGACCAAAAATATAAAGAGGCAGAAAATAAAACTGAGGATTACCAGATCAGCCATGATCTCATTAGGCTGGGGCTATTTTCCCTGGAGCGTGGGAGGCTGAGGGGTGATGTTATAGACATTTATAAATCATAAGGGGCATGGCTAGGGTGAATAGACAAGGTCTTTTACCCAGGGTAGGGAAGTCCAAAACTAGAGGGCTTGGTTTAAGGTGAGGGGGAAAAGATTTAAAAGGGACCTAAGGGGTAACTTTTTCACACAGAGGGTGGTAGGTGTATGGAATGAGCTGACAGAGGAAGTGGTGGAGGCTGGTATGATTACAACATTTAAAAGGCATTCAGATGAGTACATGAATAGGAAAGGTTTAGAGGGATATGGGCCAAATGCTGGCAAATGGGGCTAGATTAATTTAGGATATCTGGTCAGCATGGACCTGTTGGACCAATAGGTCTGTTTCCATGCTGTACAACTCTATGACTCTTGTGACTCTAAATGGTGAAGCAGACTTGATGGGCCAAATGGCCAACTTCTGCTTCTTGTCTTATGGTGTCCAGGATTATTTTCCCACCCTGATGTAACTGCCACTTAGGCCTTGCCCATTGTCAAAGTGTTCAAGTTCTAGAAGGTTTCCCTACCTTTGCTTGTAGCTCAGGCCATCACCTGGAGTAATTGGCCATGGGCTCTTTGTATTTCCATTATGTCTAAGGTGTGTCCAAGAACTACCTGTCTGACTTGGGGGATGGGGGCTATCCATCAGCTTCACTGTGACAGCACCAGACTTGGATTCTGTTAATTGCTGTGCTGATCCCTTCTCAGGATAACCGGCTGGATGCAATGATACAGTGCAGTCAGGCAGAGGTGATGCTCACTGTGCTTCTGCAATTGGTAATCTGTGAGTACAGAAATTGTGCATTAAGTGGTCCAGTTTGAAATGAGACAATTCGGGACTGGAAAGATATGTTTCTGGCATTGTACGTCAGTGGAACGGACTCTCAGATAAAACAGTGTTGATTGACACCTTTAGAGCTGGCAAAAATATAGGCAGCAAGAGGCCAGAGAGTTCCAAAGAATATACAAAGCTGGAGATAATTGAATGTTGTGAGCAATATGATGGATTCCTTAGGTGCTGGGACTGTCGAGCAGTAGGTCTAGGATTTGTGGTGTGGTATGTAAGATATGAGTGCACCTGACTTAAATTTAGGTGCAGGGAGTAACTTTGTAAGACCTTTGCTCTGTTGCCTGATTGAGTGGCAATAGCCTGTAACAGAATGTAGATTTCCTGTGAGTCACTTGCTGGACTTTACCCTTGAGACATAATGTTTGCATTTTTAAGGGAATTTCCAAGTTTTAATCCTTACTGTCGGTTTTATGAGAGCTTTTTTTTTGAAGTGGTAACTTGTGCCACCCCCTCATCTGGTCTCCTAACAGTACAGATTGACCTTTGGTGAGAGTGTTGGGAAGCAGACTCACTCCAGACCAGTATGGCATTTCTTGTTTCACTCTTGAAATGGAACTGCTATTGGGATTGCGGTCAGCCATTTGTAACATGTCTCATTTTGTTAATTGTAGTGTTTCCTCTAGAGACAGCTGTAAGTAAAAAATACTTAAAAACTAACATTTTAAAAATCTACAACAGACCCCTTTGACTTTTATTCCTTCTGAACTTGGAGTAAACAGAATGTGAGAGTGAGGTTTCCAGCTCCCATTATCTAATGCTTGCCCTAGTGACTCCTGTTGATGTTTGGTATGGAGAGGTCAGTGGGTAAGGGTAAATGAGCTAAGGGATAGCCACCAATGTTGGAACGGAGGAGAAAGGTACCAAGGTATTATTTACTGTATTGCACACAATACAATACCTTTCACTGTATCTTGGTACATGTACCAATAGTAAAATCAAATCAAATCAAACAATTTGGTGACATGGGAGTAGCAAGTGCGCAGGGACTTATGACTGATTCAGATTGATGGGGGTACAGTGTGTCAATGACATACGCATCAAGAAAAGATTCATAAAGGCAGTTTAATGGAGCATAAAATGGAACTGTGAAGGGAAGGTTATGGAGAGTGGCCATGACACCCAAGGGAACCTAAATAAGTTCCAAATTTTGGAGAGTGGAAGCCAAAGAGGAAAGCTGTTTACTATCTCAACCCCCTCCCTCTCCCTGTCTCTCTCTCCCTGCACCTCTCTTTCTCTCCCCCTCACTCTCTCTCCCTGTCTCTCTCTCTCCCCCTCTCTTTCCCCCCCCCCCCTCACTCTCTCTCTTTCATACAATCTCTTTTACTCTCTCTCATCTCTGTCTCTCTCTCTTCCTGCCCACCCTCCTCCCTCCATGCCCCCTCTCAGAGGGCCGTGTGCCTTTGGAGTTTTGATCCTGAAATAAATGGTGAACGCAGAGTCCTGTATCATTTGAAGGCAGGGGTAGGTAGATTCTTGGAAAATGAGGGTGAGGGTTGGGGTTTGGAAGCTTATCAGGGATAGGTGGGAATGTGGATTTGAGATTACAATCAGATCAGCCATGTTCAGTTTGCTGGACAGCTGGTCTGTGATGCAGAGTGACATCGATTGTAGGTTCAATTCCCACACCGGCTGAAGTTACCACGAAGGACTCTCCTCCTCAACCTCTCTCCCCTTCTCTGAGACGTGGTGACCCTCAGGTTAAAGTCACCACCAGTCATCTCTCTCTCTTGCTAATAAGACTGCAGCCCTCTGGGACTATGGCGACTTTTTTTGTATTCATTCATCAGAAGTGGGTATCACTGGCCAGGCCAGCATTTAGTGCCCATTCTTAATTGCCCAGAGGGCAGATAAGTGTTAACCACATTGTTGTGGGTCTGGAGTCATGTGTAGTCCACATGGACAACCGACTCCTCTCCTAAAGGGTAATAGTGAACCTGATTGGTTTTCTCTGACAATTAACAATGGTTTCATGGTCATCATTAGATCTCTAATTCCAGACTTTATTGAATTCAAATCCCACCATCTGCCTTGGCAGGATTCAGACCCAGGTTTCCAGAACATTACCGGGGGTCTCTGGATCAATAGTCTAGCAATAATACCACTAGGCTATCCCCTCCCCTTGTATACCTTTATTAAATGGCGGATAAGGCTCGATGGGCCGATTGGCCTAATTCTGCTCCTTGACCATATGTATCTGAGTTGGCAATCCTCAGAATGATAAAAGCACAGACTCTGCCTTGGCAGAAATGGAGGAAGAGCTAGATCTGAAGGCGCACATCTGAGACCCTGAAAGAAATGGTGTTGCTAATAGGAAGGAAATTCAGTTTAAGGTGGCAGCCAAGAAGCTTGATGAAGTCAAAGCCAGAGAAATGGAAATGTGGAGGGGATCAGCCAAAGTGTTTAGCTTAAATTCTACTGACATTAAGCTGGCGAACGTTTCATCTCATTTATGAAAGCTTTTTGCATCAAAGGTCTATAGCAGAAGAAACTGATGTTTTGAAGCTCTGTCTAACTCAGTCATTTAATGATTCCAGGCTGGTTTTGGGCAGTTTCCTTTTGACTATTAAAGCTCTGTAATTAATTCCAGGGATTCTGTACTGTTCTGACTGTTTTCTCCAATAATTCAATTAATTCAGACCATCATTTCCTTTCTTTGTTTCACAGTGTGTCTGCAGCACCTGAGTTGTAATGCATGTGTCAACGCTGAGGTTCGATTCAACTGCAGCTGGTGTGCTGTTCTTCAGAGGTGAGGCGACCTGACATGTGCACAGCTCACTTCAAATCCAAACAGCATTTAGGAAGAGCACTTTCTATCAGGGCTCACGGCCAATATCTCCTCTTCCAATGAGAAAAGTATTACCCGTTTAGAGAAGGAATAACCTTTGAAATGCTTCAGCTCAACTCTCACTTTGGGTCTCTTTCAAAAGTCATTTGTGAAGTCACTGGGCAAAATTGGCAACAACCATCTGGAGAGACCTGCCCTTCATTTAGTGGGAAACAAAAATAGAGATTGCTGGAAAAGCACAGCAGGTCTAGCAGCATCTGTGGAGAGAAATCAGAGTTACCCTTTCAGGTCCTTTTTGGCTCCCTCTGATTTCTCTCCACAGATGCTGCCAGACCTGCTGAGCTTTTCCAGCAATTTCTATTCCTGTTTCTGATTTACAGCATCTGCAGTTCTTTCAATTTTCTTCACTTAATGGGATTCACTCATTTTTACTCATTGGCCTGGCAACCAATCTGGAAAGGCCCAGCTCAAGCTAGACAGCTCCAAAAGGCTCTCCTTGGATACACTTTCCCCTGATGGAGACGAAAGTGGAAGAAACAAAGGATTATATTTATATGGCACCTTTCACACTTTCAGGACATTTTTTTGTCGCATGTACTGAGATACAGTGAAACGTGTTATTTTGCATGCTAAATGGGTAAATGGTACCGTACATAGTGCACCAGGGTAGTAGAACAGAGTAGAGAATACAGTGTTACAGCCATAGGGAGAGATCAGAATTAACATTTGAGAGGTCCGTTCAAACGTCTGCTAATGTCTGAAGGCACTTTGCAGCCAATTAAGTACTTTCAAGTTTAGTCACGATTTTAGAATAAGTAATGCAGCAGCCAGTTTGCACATAGCAAGCAATAATGAGACAGTGGTTATTGGTAAAGGTGTGAAAGTTGGCCAGGCCATGAGCAGAATTTGCCAGCATTTTGTCGAATCGTGTCACGGGACCTTCAACATCCACTTGGGAGCACAGGCGAGGATTTGTTTGAGTGTCCCATCTGAAAGACAGCTCCACTGACAGTGCAGTCCTCGTGCTACAGTTCACCTGCAGTGTGAGCTCAAATCTCTGAGTTGGGACCTGAACCTTTGTCTCAGCCAAGAGCACTATCAAGAACACACAATGGGCCCTCACTTTTGGCTCCCCTGTCACCATGTCAAGAGAGTGCAGTGGGCTCTGGATAAACATTTTGATCAATGAGAGGACTCTGTCCTTTTAGACAGGGATGGTTTCTGCCTTTCCCTATTCCTGTGGGAATGTCACTGTAACTAATGATCCTAGTGATCTTTTTGCTTCAGTCATGATTCTACTCATGATTTGATTGTGCATTTTAATCCTGCAGGGTTCCTCTTGGAACTCAGACGGTATTAAGGAAGCAGCAATTGAGGAGGGAGCAAGAGGTAATCAGTGTGTGTGGGGGGCAGGGGAATGGGGCTGTGTTATTTCTTTCAGTGTGACATCATGGGTTATGTCTACACATACTGGTGTGCAGTTTTAAAAAATGTCACTCAGATGTTTTCAGAGTTTAATCATGTTATTTGCATATCATTCTCTTTAAGTGTTCATTTGTATCCAACACCACTAGTTCAAGTATGAAATGTATAACATCTTTTCAGTAGCTCGATGGCTAATGGCACCATCCACTTTTGGATTTTGAGAAGCTCTTGCTATCTGGGCTTTGATTGATGTCAGTCAGGGTAATAGTAAGTTATCTAAAATCAACCCCACATCTCCTGATTCAAACAGAGACCAAATCAATTTGTATTTCCATTTCCACTGGTTATGTCTAAGAGGTATGCATGCTATTGTTAATTAATATTAATTATTAACGTGCTCTCCGGCCTACAGGGTTTATCTTCCTGGAAACACCTTGGTTTTAAAACTTGTATCTTTGTTTTCAAAACTCTCCTTAACCTTGCCCCTCCTAAAGTCTGCAATGATTGGAGATGCCAGTGTCGAACTGGGGTGGACAAGGTCAGAAGTCACACGACACCAGGTTATAGTCCAACAGGTTTATTTGAAATCACAAGCTTTCTGAGCGCTGCTTACTTCATCGGACAAAGGAGCAGTGCTCTGAAAGCTTGTGATTTTCAATGAACCTGTTGGGCAATAACTTGGAATTGTGTGACTTCTGACAATATCCACAAACTCTTCTAACCCACAAGCTGCTGCAGAAGTCTGGTCCTCCAATCTGGAACATCAACCTATCATTGGTAACTATATTACCAGTTGTTTAAATGTTAAGCTCTGAAATTCCCTCTCTAAACAGGCTGTGTCTCTACCTCACTTTTTTGTATTTATTCCTGGGATTGAGTGTCATATTGCCCATCCATAATTGTTAGGAGGTGAGCCACCTTCTTGAAACACCATAGTCCTTGGGATGTAGATATATCCCGATGCTTTTAAGGAGGAAGTACCAGGATTTGGACCCAGAAACAGCGAAGGAACATCTAATGGTGAGTGTTTTGAAGGGGAACTTGCAGGTGGTGGTGTTCCCAAATATCTGCTGCTTTTGTCCTTCTAGATGATGGACGTTGTGGGTTTGGAAGGATCTATCAAAGGAGCTGCCATTTGCAAGGTGGTGTGGCTTCTTGGATTATCTGGGACCATTCTGTGCCTGAAGACCAGTTTCCTGTTTCGGATTGACTCTTACCAAGATGCTGTTTGTTCTGCCCTTTGGTTTTGTTCTTTGTGCATGTGCAGTACATCTCTGCACGTGTACACTCTCTTCACTGACCTGCTCTATCATCCTCGACACTCAACACTGTCAGGTCAGATGCTGAGTTGAGGGAAAATGTCTTCACCCAGACAATGATGAGCCTGTGGAATTCTCTGCCGCAGAAAGTGGTGAGGCCAAGACATTGTATGTTTCAAGAATAAGTTAGAGGTAGTTCTAAGGGCTAAAGGGATAAAAGGGTTTGGGGAGAAAGCAGGAATGGGGAGCTGAGTTAGATGATCAGCCATGATCATATTGAATGGTGTAGAAGCTTGTAGGGTCAAATAGCCTACCCCTGCTCTGATTTTATGTTTCTATGTTTCCAGACACTCCCTTAATTTACTACACAAGAGTTACTCATTCTTTAAGACACTCCTTACAATACCTCTTTGATCAGCTTGTCCTGAGAACTCCTTTCATAACTTGATGTAAAATGTCAATTGAAAACCTTCTTGTCAAGGGTTTTAAGACATTTCAGTAAAGGCACGATGTATATCTGAGTTCATATAGTTATGGCAAATAGATTAAGATGAGGTGCTGGAAACCAGTCAAGCATTCATCAGCAAAAGTCAACCTTCAGGAGAGGCTGGGGAAGAGGAGAAGTTGGGAGAATTTTGGTGCATTGCTGTTTTCCTTCCTCTGTGTTCTTGCTGTGATTGCTCATTCTCAGTTCAGTACATTTGAAGTTCTCGGTATCTAGTTCCATCTTCCATTCCTCCTTAGATGTCAATTATTTACCTACCATGTGCAGGATAAGTGCAAAATCAATGCATGTGAGTCAATGCTGTTACTTTATCAAACACTCGAAAATGATTAAATAAACACAGAATCAATGCATTAAATCACTTCCTTCACACTTTAAGAACATTGTCTTGCCTCCAGTTAGACAGAATTACAAAGTGTTTAAGTCCAACATAAAATCACTATCTTGACCATGCCCAAATAGCCTGTTGTACTTAGACACTGTTAAGGAAGTTAGATTACAGTTTCATCGAAACAATACCAGGGATTAGAGGGTTAAATTACAAGGACCTAAACATGGTTGCATTCTATAGTGGAGGAAAATTTGAAGGTGTGATCCAATCATGGTGTTGAAAATGCTATAAGGATTTAAGAAGGTAGATAACAGAGAAACGTTTTCTTCCGATAAGGCAATCAAATAAAAAGGGTCAAAATCTTCAAACTTGAAACCAGGATGTACTTTTTCACACAAAGTGAGAGTTTGGTCCTCTGCCCTCAAAAAGCTGTGGATTCTGGGAGCTTTCACAGATGGGATAAAGTTATTTATCAGAAGGGTTGGAATTAAGGCAGCAAAGTTGAGCTGAGTAGCAGGTTAGCGAAGATGACAGTAGTCTGAGGGGCTCAATGGCCTCATCCTGTTCCTATGCTTCTGTTGGTGAATGAATGCAAATTCCATAATCCAGCTCGGAATGGATACAAGGAATGAACAAGAACAGAAGTTGCTGGAAAAGCTCACAGGTCTGGCAGCATCTGTGAAAAGAAATCAGAGTTAACATGTTGGGTCTGGTGACCCTTCCTCAGATACAGGGAATTACTGTAACACATTCCCTGCAAAGATGGTGTAGCATAGCCCATTCCCACACAAGCTAAGAATAGTGGCTGCTGGCTATGATGAGCACCAAGTACCTTAGGGCAGTTTGCGTAAAAATACTTTGTGGACTAGGAGCCTGAATTCACAGACGTTCAGTTCCAACATTGGATGTAGAGTCAGAGAACTCGCTGATATCTGGGTGACTTGAGCAGAGTAGACCCAGACCCTGAGTATCCTAAATGTTTTCACATTGAACACTGTGGTCACGTTGCTATAAGTGAGGGTGACAGATGGTGCATTGTCAAACCAAGCTTTCTCTCAGTATTGTGTCCTGTCCCAAAGCTTCATTCTCATCTCTCACAGAACAGACCAGTGCAGCTGTCACTACAGACGGCAACAGAAATTTTTAAAAAAGCTTACAAACTAAATGACTCCAAAATCAAGATCATTTATGTCCATAGGGTTGATACCAATGAGTTACTACTGACTTTGCCTGCCCTGCGTTGTAGCATGTGATTGTATTTCTTACTCAAGTTGTCATTTTGCTCCAAAATTAAACGTTGAAAGAAATTTCCGATTAGAGAGACAGCCGTGGCCGTCCAGAATGTGTCCTGTCTGTCTCCATGGTTTGTCATTTTCTTTATCCTTGCAGTTCTTTCAATACTTTATCAATACATTTTCAATCAAAAATCCACCTCCATCTT